GTCTGGAACATGGTCGGTAGGATAGCAGGAAAACAACGTACACACACTTCCACTCGTAAACACTCAGGGTGATACCTTGGAAGATCAGGCAAACTTCCTCGGTGCACACTTTGAACGGATATCCAGCTCGTCCCACTATACCGACACTTTCCAAAAATACAGAACAAGAATAGAAAAGCAGAAACTCGAACACAAATCCACTAGATACGAGGCGTATAACCAAGCTTTCAGTCTAGCTGAGCTCCGAACATCTCTAAACTCCTGCAGTACTTCTGCCCCAGGTTCTGACTGTGTGGTGTATGAAAGTTTAAAAAACCTACCAGCCGAACACGAAAAACTTTACTTTGTTTTATACAATGCTATCTGGTTTTCTGGCACTATCCCTACCTCCTGGAAGAGGCTATTATTATTCCATTTTGAAAGAGGGCAAGGACCCTCCTTTAGCTTCAAGCTATAGACCTATTGCACTTACAAGCTGCTTGTGCAAAGTCTTCGAAAAAATGATAAACTGCCGACTTGTACATATCCTTGAAACAAACAATTTGCTCGACCCATTCAGTGCGGGTTTCGAGAAAGTAGATCCACCACAGACCACCTGTTCGTATCGAGGCACAGATCAGAGACGCCTTCGTCCATAAACAATATTTTCTCTCTGTGTTCCTCGATATCGAAAATGCTTATGATACAACATGGCATTTTGGAATTCTAAGAGACCTGTCCCACCTTGGCGTGCGCGGAAGAATGTTTCACATAATCGAAAGTTATCTGTCAAACCGGACATTCCGTGTCCGAGTGGGCACGGTTCTTTTCCAAACATTTGTCCAGGAAACAGGCGTGCCACAAGGTGGTGTACTTAGCTGCACACTTTTTCTCATCAAAATGAATTCCTTGCACTTGTCCATCCCCCGCAATATGTTCTATTGTACATATGTCGACGACGTCCAGCTTGGCTTCAAGTCATGGAACTTGGCAATGTGTGAGCGGCAGGTTCAGCTGGGTTTAAACAAGGTCTCCAAATGGGCAGATGAAAACGGATTCGACTTAACCCACAAAAAAGCACGTGTGTCTTGTTCTCTCGAAAGAGAGGCATGCACTCGGAACCTGACATTCGACTGAATGGGCAACGTCTGTCTGTCAAAGCCGAGCATAAATTCTTAGGCTTAATCTTGGACAACAAGTTGACCTTCGTACCGCACATCAACTATTTAAAATCAAAATGTTTAAAAGCCATGAATGTTATAAAAGTGTTGTCACGTACTACTTGGGGTAGTGATAGGCAATGCCTCATGAATCTGTATCGAAGCCTCATTCGCACCCGCTTAGATTATGGGGCTGTTGTTTATCAGTCTGCAACTCAAAGTGCTTTGAAGATGCTAGATCCCGTGCACCATTTGGGCATCCGTCTTTCTACGGTTGCTTTTCGCACCAGCCCTGTAGAAAGCCTTTACGTTGAGTCAAATGAATGGTCGCTTCATCTACAGAGAACTTACATGTCCTTTGTATATTTTCTTAAGGTGAAAGCAGACAAGAAGCACCCCCTCATACTCTACTATTAATGATCTGTCGAGCTACATTCTGTTTCAAAACAGGCCTTCGATGAGGCAGCCCCTCTCAGTTCGCCTGAAGAGTCTAGCTGAAGAAACTGGAGTGTCACTTGAACACAGTTTAATGGCTCCTGTAGCATACCCGCCACCGTGGCAATGGCAGACTATAGACTGCGATGTGTCTTTCCTAGAAGTAACAAAACATGCACCTATTGCCCTTATCCGGACATACTTCCTGGAACTTCAACACAAATACAGACGTCCTGAGTTCTTTACAGATGCCTCCAAGTCTAACTCCTCTGTGTCCTACGCTGCTGTCGGCCCATCCTTTTCGGATGCTGGCCCTCTACATCCAGGCACAAGTATCTTCACAGCGGAAGCTTACGCGATACTTGTGGCAGCTAAACACATCAAACAATTACAAATACAAAAAGCAGTAATTTACACAGACTCCCTCAGTGTGGTAACGGCTCTGCACAGTCTTAAAAAACAAAAAAACCCGGTCCTTGTCTCACTCTACTCCATTTTGTGCACACTCTACACACTCAAACAACATGTTGTAGTGTGCTGGGTGCCAGGGCACCATGAGATCCAAGGCAACGTGAGGGCGGATCAACTCGCTGCATCCATCCACAAAAGCACTGCCCCTACACCGACATCAATCCCGGCCCTTGATCTTAAGCCGTCTCTCAAACGAAAACTCAGGGACTACTGGCAGAGCAAGTGGGATACACACACACAAAACAAACTACACATTATTAAGCCACACCTTGGTCATTGGCTGCCAGTATCAAAATCACGTCATACAGAGGTAATACTAACGAGACTCGGGATAGGACACACATACACGACACACACATATCTTTTACCCGGTGGCGATCCACCATTGTGTGACAAATGTGGTGAGGCATCAACAGTCCTTCACGTTTTAATCCAATGTGAACAATTAGAAACTCTAAGAATACAGCATTTTCCATTACCCTACCGACAACATATACCTTTACACCCTGCAATGTTCGTTGGTAGGGAACCGCTTTTTACGACCTCTCCAGGGAGGTTTTTGCTGCGGTGGCTACACAGGAAAGCACTTGCCTCACGGCCCTTGGACGCAAGGGTATGAACGAGTGAGGTACTTGTGCTAATGCCATACATGTCCACCATCGTTTTACATTATCACCAACTTTTGTCATCTATTCACACCACACACACATTTCACGGCATGGTCATGATTTTATTACTTCTATGTTTTTACCCGCCTTACCGCGAGGAATTTTATGGCCCTTATACAGCCGCTAATCACAATCATTGTCCACATTCGTTGTCCCATGAACTGGCGCTCTTTGGGCATCAAATGGCCCTTGCGCCAAAAAACACCATATATCATCATCTTCATCAAACTTTGAACACTAGCACTCGGAAAGACACAGCAGGATATGCGCTGTCCCCTCAGTGCCCGTCTTGTCTTTCTGCATGTTTGTGTTGAAAGTTTAGCGATGAATATCTTAATAAAAACGTAATGAGGGAGTGTTAGAAAACAGCGTGCCCTAAAGGTAATGGACACATTAAAGCCAGTGTACAAAGGAATACCAGCTATGTGTAGGTTGTGCGTATGTGGTCCCACCAATGCAATTTTTCTTGCTTGTCCCTAGGTGCTAATTCATGCCCTGAAGAACCTCAGTAAGCTTTTTCATTGCATTCCTTGAGTATTGTGATGTCGACCATTTTCTAAACTGTTAATTGAACTTTGCATAATGTTGTTATGCTTCATTCATATGAGCAGTGACAGTGTTAGCAGGGCAGTAATAAGTTTCTCTCGTGCACTTACTATGATGTGGTAACGCAGCAGCTAGGTATAGGTTGTATTGGTGTATAGTATATATTTTCGTGCATTCAAACACAACATCCAATTTTTTAAATATCAGCTGGCACGCGCATTTTCTCAAGATAGCCACAATGTGTCGCGACAATGCTTGTCTCTAAAGATAATGCTGGCTCTGGTCTGCGCATTTGATTCGAAATTAAGCCGATATGACCACACCTCAAGACTGTGGAAACGAAAGTGGGGTCATTACTTAGCACTAAATTGTCCCTTTTTAATCTGTGAGTAGTGTACATCAGTACAGTTATTATATAATGTTAAAAAGAAAAAAAAACAGCCACTGATTAAGTTGTCTCTTTGTAGCTGTATATACACTAACTGCAGTGCTTACATGAAGTGCTTTTATTTGCCCTATTTTTCCAGGAGGGTGTGCCCCTTCTCAGTGCTGAATTCTGCCGCAGCATTTCTTTGGAGCAAGTTCACCAGATATTTCGATCTGATACAAATGTGGAGATACCCCTACTCACTGAAAGGCATAAAGTTCTGCAAGAATGGGGCCGTGTCTTGTCAAATGTAGGTCCAATGCCAAGCTTCACAGCTTAAGCTTATTTTCATTATTTTGTCTAGTGCTGATGATATTGGTGTCGTAGCTGTTTCACATGATTATCAATTTTATAACCTGCAGATGAATGAGTTGCCTCTGCACAAAATGGTGCTTGTCTACTATATCTACTTTGTTTCACACACCAGGTGCAACGCTGTGGAAGCTATGCAAGAAGTTCGGCCAGAAAAACGTATAACTCAGCGCGTTTCGTGGTTGCTCGCGTGACGTCTGATTAGTGCTGGTGCACCCTCGCGTTTATTTGTGTTCCCCTTTGGCGTGACTGTCGAACAGAAGAAAGCGGGGTAAGCACAAAAGAACACGGGTACTGAAAGACCCTGTGGTGTCCTATCCTGCACTGACTCCAGACGGCCGCCATCATGACATACGCAGAGTAGAGAAGCCTGTATGTGACGTCACGGGGAAACTAATATATACAGCCACATAATATCAGACCTTCAATGGCGTTTTTGTTTATAAGGCACATAATATCTTCAGTTACTTTTCACTATAATAACGAAAGAAAAATTAAGTTATTGGTGGTAAAGACATCGAACTACTTTTCGTTGCAAAAGCATAGACTCCAACAAGTCTCGTTAGCTTCCGCAACGTTGCACATGATGTGTGAAACAGAGTATAAAGCTGTATAAAGATGGTCGTAGTTTGTTTTAGAATATTATTTGCACTACCTTAAAGGGGTCTCAAAGCACTTCTCAAACCTGTTAAGAAATTGCCTATAATCTGTAGACAAGGCTTTTGTGAATCTATAAGCCAAAGATTATTGCACATCATGCAGCACAGAACCTATTATGTCATGTCAACAACAGCCAAAAATCACTTGTTCTGTTTTTTGCAATGCCATCACCAACAACTCGCCAAGAAGACCCATCAGGATTGAATTGACTGATTCCTTTATTGCAAGAAGGTTCTCCGTAATAGTGTTGTTGCTAGCATTAAGTTAAAGATCCATGAAAAGCATACTCGCCTGCACTGGTCTCTGCTAATAGTTGCCTGCTGAGTGTTTAATTTTCTTCTGTGCTCAGGTGATGTTGCACCCTGTGAACTTGACTACATGTCTGCTCTTTCATACACTATGTTCCTGAGTTTGTCATCTCTCGTATTGGGCCTGCCATGCCAGTATCCACTGATGCATGTTGTCCCCAAAACCAGATGTTCCAGTGTTAGCTCGCTGTCTTCTTTCTGCCTCATGAATGAAGCACCTTGGCAGATACCGCTTTGTGTTAACCAATAAAACCCCGAGCAAGCGCGGCTACCGGAGCAGGTGCCTCTTTTCCCTTTTTTGGTTAATTTGAAATGTGCGCCAATGACCAAGCAAGCACCGCACCCAATTTTTTTATATATATGTCTTTTTTTAAACCTGTTTTCTGCTCCAGAATCCTGCAGCAGCAGTTCCTAGGAACCCATGTTTTGGTAGTCTTTAGATACATACACAAATTCAACTTTTACAGTACGTATTGTGCCTTGGGGCTCAGAGTTGTCACATTTAAAGAACATTTTTTCCTTCTTGTGACAACACATCAAATTTCACATAGTGATTCCATGCTGTTCAGTAAGAACAGTAAATGCACGCATATTCAATAAAACGTTTCATTGGAAGTACCATGTGCATTCTTCGTAGATACTCTTCTGCCGCAGGCCTCTCCTCCAAATCTTGTCCGATTGTCTTTCACCTTAGGGGAGGGGGATGCGTTTGCTTGGGATTTTATGTTAGGCTTTGAAATGTTCAATCTGGATTTGACTACACTCTGTCAGTTAAACTGGCACAGGGTGCAGTCGGTCTGCACCAGGTTAAGAGATAAACTGGCCAGGCCAGAGTGCATGAGCTTGCACTATATGAGAACAGCAGCATTTCGTTCCTTATGTTAAGCGTAGGTACTGGAACTACTGCATGGTGCATGAAATGCCATCGCTCTGCACCCCTCTAGCTGAACTGGTGACTTGCATGCTTAAGAGTAAAGAAAATGCTCCAGGCCCTTACATCTGTAATGTAACTTTAGCATAAAGCTCTGTCTCCTTTGCTCCTCCCTTCTGCATTGATTCCAGCATGCCCATTAAAATGAAAGGAGGGAAAAACTGAGTAGAGCACCTAATGATTGCCTCTAACTTGCACTTTTAAGACCCAAAAAAGTTTTGCGACAAACATTTCTTAGAAAATGTCATACTGTGCCAAGGTCATTGTGCAGTTACTTGGAAAGCTGTCTCTGTGCTGCAGTATCAACTTTAAGGAAAACAGGTGACATAGCGGCATATTTAAATTCTTCATTTTGCCGACCAGCATTCCAGTACAAGTTCCTCGACTCTATCTGTGCATGGTTGCAAACTGCATGCACAAAGCAATTCTGAAGAATATAGGTGATAAGTAATCGGCCACTTATGACTAAAATAAGTCTGATAATAATAATGTTAAATCAGAGCTTGGGAATATTGCAAATTCAGAGTATTAATAAAATGATAATTGCCCTTCTATGAGTATTTCACTGAACAATTCAATGCATAATGGTGTCTATACTTCTTAGTCTTCTCTCCATTAAAATACTAAGGGATAACAATAGTTATGAAGATTATGGGGGAAAAAAGTGATGTGGTTCTGCTTTATGGGTCTTCATTTTGCAGACACATGATTTCTTGAGAATATGTTTAGAGGAGATGACTTATGCACAATAGTTTTCACATATTAAATAAGCCATAGGCTGCCTCAGAAATTTTTTTTCTAAATTTAAACAAAGCAGTCTATTACTTGTACAATGGCACAGTGTTCAGATTTGTACCAAATAATGGGCATCGTTTCAGCAATTCACTTATGGAATTATGTAATCACCACAGTGCTATGTACATTTGCAGACATACGCTTTCTTTGTTTCATTGCTGCTGTTGTCATTGTGTACCAGGTACAGCTACCCATCCTTAATTACTAATTTACAAGCTGTCATGGCATCATGGATGTATCAGATAACATAAATAAGCTCTTGTGACCATACAATTTTTTTATATTTCCCTTAGTTTCAAATGTTTCTGTATGTGGTATTCAGTTTGATCTTTTGATGTGTTTTTTCATAAATATTTGTATTTTATTCAATCAGACACCCAGTAAAAAAAAAAAAAAAACTGCCATTCTTTATAAGTGGATATGTATTCGATGAGTTTTCCTATAATCTATGCTGTACTCATGAGATTTCTGCAAGGCTGGCATTACTTTGTACTCTTACATTAGTGACACTGTAGCACTCATAAATACCCAATAATGGTATTCGATGATATGTTAATTGTGTGATTTGATAGTTTTGATAGTGCATTTATTGTATATTAAAGTTCTGCTGGTTCATTCGCATCATGTAAGTTTTATATGCAATTAAAATATTGCAGAACAAAGAAATATTCAGAAAGATTTGAGGAATTATGTTGTGACAGCTAAGGGTAGATCGATCCCCTCATTTCAAGAAAGGCGGTAGCTTGAAATGAAACCTGAGAGGGGGTGGGGTCTTGAATTTCTTGTTTTTAATAGTTACCATCATCACAAAGACCCCGTCACTGCATAAATAGTGTTAATTTGTGCTCACGGTGGTCCCACTCATTTTTCTAATTGGTGATAGAAGGGGGACAGGTGCTGAAGGGAGGGATGACATAGGCTTTAGCGAGGGTGATTGCCCTCACTGCACCCCCCTCTGGATCTGCCATGGGATGTACCGGTCAAGTTCAAATTATACTAGTCTATAATGCAGTTTTTTTGTAACTAAAGTTACCATAACACAGAAACGGTGCATGTGATAAAGAAATACTGAAGTGTATTTTTATATTTTTATTTATTTATACATACTGCAGCCTACCATGGGCTACAGCAGGAGTGGCAATAACATTGCATGTCAAGTGCAGACAAAACATCGGCGATTCGTAGGCCTGTGCAAATATTCGAATGCTTTCAATATTCAAATGAATAATGGATTATTTGAATTCGAATTGAATTGAAAAATATTGAGAATTTTGAATTATTCGGAATGAACGAATAAATGCATATTAATCCGCATGTGACGCCCTGTAAAAGTGGTTTCACTACACTGGAGCGATGCCAAGCCGTGACAACACATGAGGATATTACCCTCACATCAATTCATTTTTTAAGTTAGAAGCTTGTTATATTGACTTGTATGCTCCAAGTATAGTCAATTGTAAAAAGTAACATATTTTACATGCTGCCACTTGCATTCTATCGCAAGTAAAATCCTGCTACTATTTAAAATTGTTTCCACTTACTTTGATGCAAAAAATGGCATTTGCACAGGCCTCATTTTAATAAAAAAAATATATTGTGCAGGTTAGTTAGGTCATGACAAATGTGCTCATTTTTTAAATAATATGACATAGATACCATTCGAATTCGATTTGGAGTTATTTGACCAATATCACTAGATACTATTCGAATTCGATTTGGAATTATTTGATCAATACCACTGTTCGCTTCGAATTCCTCTCGAACCTCAAATTCACTATTCGCACAAGCCTAGCCATCGGCAAAGTGTGAACAAACCCAGGCAAAGCATTCCAACGTTCAACTGTTGCAGGAAAGTTGCTATATTTGTACAAATCTGTTCTAGATTTAAGCTAGTACAGGAAGGTTGAGCAAACTTAAAGTACTGATTTAAGTGGCCACAGTGTGGGAACGCAATCAAGGCAAGCATGAATTATAGGCTTTCATTGTGGTGACATGTTGCCAGTATAGATTAGAGAGTTTGGAAGATGGTGATAAGGGCCTATCGTAACGACAGTGGATAAAACGCATTGCTTTTTTAGTTTTTTTGAACGGACTCAATTCTGTTAATGTCGCTTTATGAAATGGATTACAAACAATACATGCATATGCTATACTCCGTTTCATACATCAGGTGCAACCCTGTGGAATCTATGCTAGAAGTTCGACCAGCAAAACGTATAACTCAGCGTCTTTCGTGGTCGTTCGCGTGACATCTGATTAGTGCTGCTGCACCCTCGCGTTTCTTTTTGCTCCCCTTTGGCGTGACTGGCGAACAGATGAAAGTGGGGTCAGCACAAAAGAACGCGAGTACCGAACAACCATGTGGTGTCCTATCCTGCACTTACACTGAAAGTCCAAGTGGCCGCCATCGTGACATACCCAAAGTAGAGAGCCTATATGTGATGTCACAGGATAACTAAGCTATACAGCCACATAATATCAGACATTCAACGGTGTTTTTGTTTGTAATAACAAACAAAACTGAAATTTTGGGGGGTAAGAAGATCGAACTACTTTTTGTTGCGAACACATCGACTGCAAGAAGTCTCACTAGCTTCCACAATGTTGCACATGATGTGTGAAACAGAGTATAGGACTGGACAGATTAGTGTTTTGTACGGGAGCAGTTTGGTTTCTTGAGCTACTCAAATGGTGTGCTGGATAACCAAGTTTTTTTTAATGATTCATTACATATTATTTGAATATGGTTGCTCCAGGATAGTTTTTAGTAAATAAAAGCCCTTGATACTTCTATTCGGATAATTTGAGTAAAGAATTTTTGAAAAAGTACGAGAAAACTGAGGGAGCTAAACGCCCAGTGAATGTCATTGAAACAGTTTTGCTGAAGTTTGTACTCATTTGCCAGGCATTGCACGATGAGCGAAAGTGGGAGAATGCATCTTCAAGAACTGTGTGGTCTTCAGTAGAGTTTGGTAGATAACAAGAAAGAATGTGCAGAGTAACAATAAAAGGCAGTATGGAAGAACTGTCAAGTTAGAGCATGACAGGTGTTAATGGAAGAAGGCAGGTAACTTAGCCATGTAATCACTGTACTGATGATTTCTAGATTGACGAGGGCACATTGACAGTTTATACCTGCCACAAGGGAGCATATTGAGCTCAAGAGGAAGATGATGTTAAGGACCATCTAACACCAGATACTAAAGCAGAGAGAAAAATGCAAGTAATATAATGGTGGAAGGTACTCGCTAAAGGTATTCATAGGAGGAGGTAGGGCCAATAAAAAAAGAAAAAAGTTTTTATTAAGTGTGCAGCATGTAAAATTAAATTTTGAACTAATTTTCTATTTCATGCTTCTTTGGGAACTTTATCCTTCTGGCAATATTGAAGGCTAAGGTTTTGTTAGGTGGTAACAATGAAATGCCATTGTAGAAGCAGTATGCTTAGTTAATGACTAGTTGCAAGGATGTCACAATAACCTTTTCCACTTGCTTTTAATGACCCCAACTCTTTTTGTAAACCTGATGTCCTTATTTTTTCTTTTCCGAACCTTGGATACAGATGTATGGCGGATCGTTTGCCAACTGCATTCGAGAATGTAAACACAGCTGCCAAACACTTCTGGGAAAGGTTGTGGAAAAGTTCACCTCATTTCAAGATGAAGGAACTTTTGATGGTGTTAGAGGTTAGTGAGACTTGACACTGTTACAAGCAGCATTGCCTCTCTTGTGCTTGCTACAAATTCGTGTGGAGCAGTGTAGCTGTAAACTTAGAACATTTTACTGACACTTACATGGAATATAATCTGGAAGACCTACACATAGTCAATGACGCTTAAGGGTAGATGCAATTTGGAAAAAAAAGTTGTATTAATCTGTAGCTCAGAGCAAAGAAATATTTTGCTGTATATATAGGCTTTTATGTTCATTTCAAATTTGTAATTAGTTTTATAGTAAGTTGCACAGTTTTCATTTAGTGCCATGACAATGTGAAAAGCTCATTTTGGACAAACATTTCATGCCCCTAAACTTTTATGGTTCTGAGCCATTATGGCTTATATTGTTACACATTAATTTTAGAATGCAAGTAACTGTCAAGAAATTGTGCATAAAACATTTTGATGGTTGAGAAAAATTGTAATGTCAGAATTATTAGAATTCTCAGCCCACAATAATTGCTTACTTTAAGTTCCTAATACTTTTACAGGCTATATCAAGTCTTGAAGGAGATACTTGTACCCCTCTGTGTTAAAATAATAATAATAATAATTGTTGGGGTTTAACATCCCAAAACCTCCATGTGATTATGAGAGACGCCGTAGTAGTGAAGGGCTCCAGAAATTTCGACTACCTGGGGGTTTTTCAACGTGCACCTAAATATAAGCACGCAAGCCTCAAGCACTTTACCTCCATCGAAAATGCGGCCGCCATGGCTGGGATCCGATTTCGCGACCTGCGAGTCAGCGGCTGAGTGCCTTATCCACTAGACCACCTTGGGGGGTTCATGTTAAAAAATTTGTGCACAACATTTTATTCCGATCGGGCTATCAGAAGTACCAAAAGCATGATGTCCAAACTGAAGAAGTTGCCCGAAATTGGATCTTGAGAAAAATATATTTAAAAGGCATAAGAGAAAGCTTCTTTATGTGGAAAAGATATGTTTTTCAAGATGACTTATTTCATCATGAGAGCTTCGCATTGATGGTTATTTTGAGCATGTGGCCTTAGTAAAGTCCTCATGCGAAATGTAATAGCAAGTAGCCAGGTGACAATTCCCAGGGGACTCTAGACAATGTGCACTTTTTATTTTTTTAGCAGCCACCTTCTACTCTTTAAAAGCGATTTAAGCTTCTTTGAGTTTAATTATAATCTTCAGTTTTTTTGTCGTCAAAATAAAAAAACTTGTTGAAGCAAATGAAAACAAAAAAATATGTAATTTTGGAAAAATAACTTGTGTTTTTTGACTCATGAGACTCTTAACGGGGTCGAGAAATGTTTTCAGAAAATTTTCAACTACGTGTGTATTCAAAATCTTGGCTGTGCATTCAGTACTATAGCTTGACTCGTTTCATCGTCTGGGTTTACTTAATAGCTATAAAACCACAATTTTGATTTCCCACTGACATTCCCTTCATCTGTGCAGCTGACGTCACTTATAGTCAGCTAATGAAAAGCGTCGTCGACAGAACATGGTGATGCAGCGATGTTTGCTGAGTCATAGTTGACCGAGGTTCGTAGCCTCATCCCGCTTAGATTGCGGCACCGTAAAGTTGCCACATGTATGTTTTCGACTTTGATAAGCTGTGTGGCCCTTTCTTATGACACACACGATAGCCATAGACTAAGCCACCCAAAACACGCCGTGAAATACAACCTAAGGAATCTAGTAAAAAAAAGAAAACCAAACTGGGACGCTGCGTCGAGCGAGTGAAGGCAACACGTGACAAAGCCGGGATGTACTTGAAAGTGGAATGAAGCAGATCGCTCGTTATTGCATAATATACATAGCTCGGAATGCAAAAATTGCTGTTTTTTTTTGCCAGGATCATTTTGGAGCAAAAGAAAGATAACGCTCTGTTAATAAATTCTCTTACCATGACGTTTTGCTGACTTTGATGTGGAAATAGCAGTCCAGAAACCTCATGGCTATATATAATATATAGCCTATATAATTTAATGTTGAAATAGTAGTCCAGAACCTCATGCATATATATATATTAGCAATGTCTACAATATCAACCACATGTCGGTGCTAAATAAACTAAGATGACTGCCCGGGGGAAGATAGCAAACGAGTAGGAGGACATGGAAGCGTGTTCTATGACACATTTGAACAAATGCATGACACCATACAGCTTTTATTACGTAACATTGAAATAAAAGCCCCATTTAAACAAAACTACCCTTAGATTAATACGTAAATGTGAATGCTTGGAGCACCACCTTTCATTTTGTGGCAGGGACAATGAAGCTGAGCGGGCATGTGGCACAAGTATTGTATCATTGTTTTTGCTTATTTGTTTTAGTAGAAACATCATGAAATTAGGTTTTGTGTGAAGTTAGCCTAATTATTCTGGGTTAATTAAAACATGAGAACCCTATAGATACTTGCAGGGAAAGGAGGGTTCGTGGTATAGTTTGGAAAATTTTGTGAGATCAGTTTTTGTTATAGTTTGACTGTGTCAATTTATTCATGAGTATCCCACTGGTGACATAAATAATTCATCATTCTTAGCAATCATAATATGGTGACCTCCATAAAAAAAGGGCACTGAAATACTAAACATAGAACTCAACTGTGTGTGTCTGTCTATACTGCGCATTATTCTACAACATTGGATGCTACACTGCCACTTCTTAGAATTACACATAATGAGCACCCATTGGAGGGGTTACAGCCTTGTCTATCACATAACCAATCACAATGCATATATTCTACCATGTCCCCACCCTCCCCTTTCAAAACCCCTGTTCACTGTTGGTTTCACAGTAATAAATTGTGACAAACCAAAACACCATCTACGTACGTGCCACGCCTCAACTATGTCCCTCCCCTTCTTTTCATATACAGGCACTGCTTGTATTCAATAATTTAACTGCCCACCTTATTATACTACTGTATTATTCAGATTGTTTGGTGGTAATTGTGTCATGCATACGAAGATGTTTACCATGATGATTTGAAATTGCAGGCTAATTTGCGGGCAAAAAAAATGGGGTGTTGCATTCAGTGGTGTACGAATGACACTTGGCTCATCAGTATCTGTTTCCATGACAGTGTCTCTATGACGCCCCGCTGCAGTGGTCTAGTGGCTATGGTACTCGGCTTCTGATCCACAGGTCGCGGGATTGAATCCCGGCTGCGGCGGCTGCGTTTTCGATGGAGGTGAAAATGCTGTAGGCCTGTGTACTCAGATTTGGGTGCACGTTAAAGAAGCCCAGGTGGTCGAAATTTCCAGAGCCCTCCACTCCACTACGGAATCTCTCGTAATCACATGGTGGTTTTGGAAAGTTAAACCACACATAAATCAATCAATCATCACAGTGCCGACAAATATGGCAGTTTAGGTTCATGGATGCATTATTAGTGGTACCCAAGGTAAAAAAAAAAGTAGAAGGTACAAGTATTTTGGATTAGTTTGTATATACTTGAGACCTATGGTGTACATGTAAATACTTCATACAACTCCACGAAGAGAGCTGTATTCAGCCTTAGGCTCAACCTGTGCACTGCAAACCCTGAAATAAATTTCTTGTTCATGACCATGGAAATACTTTTTATAGAATACATTGAAGGTATTTGTGATTGTTACTCATTAAAGAAAAAGGAATTGCCATGAATTAGTCGCACTTCAGTAACTAGCTGCTGGGTTAAATATTGCAACTATCCTTCCACTACTAAAGTATGCTGACTCTCAGCTCTTGCTGCTTTAGAATTAAATAGAATGTTTGACCAGTTAAAATTCACATTTTAATATTTGTATAAAGTTAAAATAGTGTTGCAGGTCTAACTTTCGGCTTTCACCACTTTAGCCATTCTGTCACAGCGTGTTCATAATGAGGATTACCACCACCAATGATGAAAAAAAAAAGAAAGAAAGAAAAAGAAAACTTCTTTTTTTTCTCGTTCTGCCCGAGGAAAACTGCTGGGCTTACCTTTAGTAAAGTTTATTCATTCATTCATTATACGAGTAGTCTGGGAGTGGAACATGGTTTCTGAATCTTAGTTTTTTTTATCACCTAATATGATTTTAGAGATTTAGACTCATTTATTTGATTTAGTGAAACAGTTGTGTGAGTTAATTATTCTATTTAGCTGAGTAGCACTTGCACCACTTGTTTTCTCTTGTGCTCATTCATGAGTTTTGGGAAATGTCAATATTGTTATTGTTGACTATGATCTATACTTCCATTTTTGTGGCTGAAACCATTTATGTGGCTGAGACCCTTTATTGTGGCTGAAATAAATAAAAAAATAAATAGTTCACATTTCAAAGGCCTACGCTGAGCTGAGCACAAAATTCAGGGTTGTGCACAATTTCACTGAATGTAGAGTTTCATCAGCTTCTTTGCAAAGGTAGTTTTTTTGCTGTTGTTCAATTGAATACTTGACGAACAATGTATGAATCAAGAGCAAAAGCTACATATTGTTTATGTGAAATTGATCTTGCATACTTTAGGTGAAATGAGAAGTTATTATGTAAATGCTAAATTATAACATGGATAGTAATTTAAAATGGGAAAATTATGTTATTTGCCTGATTTCCCACTGCATTACCACCAGGCAAAACTCCCTTTTGTGCAGAAATAATCTCCACCAAATGAGCTTTCATTACTTACATTAAATTTTGAGCATGTCAGTGAAGTAGCAGTGTGAAAACCCTCTTACCCCCGCATTCAGAAACACTTCTTGACTTGAACTTGACTTGAAATTGCCTTCAATGCAGCGCATTTGAAACGCGTCTGTGTATTTGTGTTGTCTGCCACCGCCTAAAAACAGTGCGTTCGAAATGCGTTCGTGCTGCATTGAAGTCGATGGCAAGTCAAGTTCAAGTCAAGCAGTGTTTCTGAATACGGGGGTGAGTCTTTTTCACTCTTTCAACTAAATATTCTTTTGACATTTTCATGGCAACTATTGCAGTGTCATTCTACAAGCGTGCTCAAATACTTGTTGCTGACCTCTGGAGCTGCTTTGACGGAAAAGGCCTGGGCCATTTTGAGGATATTGATATGCTGACAGCATTTGCTGACTACCGTGTGCCCCAAGTACTAGCCTATTTTGGTGCTTTATGTTACTCTCCACAGCTGTCGTCTTTGCTTGCTAAAGGTGAATACCCGTGTTTATTTTTCTACATTTCTCTGCATTGCTTCAAAGTGTACATAAGTTAAATCATGCACATCGCTTTTGTTTTTGCCACTTATTTGTGAGCATTGCATATTATTTAGTGATTTGAGCAAATACTAGTTGCCTCGTTGCTTAGCTGAAGGTTTTGCAATTGCTGCTAAGTCTTGTAGCTAAAAATACTTTCTTATCATATTATTCTGTGATGTGTCTAGTTTGTGGACATCTTGTTGTGCTACATGTAATTTGTTCGTGAAATTCATCAGTCGATCACTTTTATTTTATTTTCACTCTGACAGAGAGGAAACAGCATTGGAAACTAATATAGTTTGACAGAAGTCCTACCTCCTTTTACAGATGACAGCAGCACGTTGTGGAGACATAAAGAATAGGTGCAACACACTTAAAACAAAATAATATGCGATACAAAATACAGTTTCGATAAAACACAGAAAATTTATATGCATATGTGCCTATGAATGCAAATTGGGATTTCACAGATATACATTTTCATACCTGATGCACAAGTCTATATACACAGGTCTATATACGCATATACACAGGTCTGATACACAGGTCTATATACGCATATGTATATGCTCTTTGATAACGTGTTCAACACGATTTCAACACGAGGGAAAGAAAAGAAAGAAAAAGAGAAAAAAATATCATGCACAATGTTAGTAATCTTTCTGGCACGATTGACAAAATAGTCTTATTGCTTGATTAGAATTGCACAGAGAATCAAAATCTGTGTTTGTAAGTTTATTAAGTAAGAATGGCACAGCATGTTTATATTAATTGTTTGTCATATTTGTTTCGAGGTGTAGAGACATTTAATTTTTCCTTATGCAGAGTATGACAAATAATGCGGTTTTCATTCAAATCGGCCAGCTAAAATGTAATAGAATTATTGGACTTTATGTTGATAAAAGTTTTAGCAATAGATGTATGTAGTTAAAAGACACTGCTGCTGTAATCATATTGGCCTATCTCTTGATTCAAAGGTAGCGTTAAACAAATGGTCCACTTGAAGAAGATGGAGTGGCAATGAAATATGCTTGGATTTCCTCCCCTGTCTGTCGTGGCACAATTTAATCTCTCTTGAGGAGATCAGCTAATTTTACAGTGAGTGACCAAAAAATTGTTTGCCATTGTAAATAATGCTTGCTTGTAGAATTTGAAAATAAAAGTGGTGAACCACATACTAAAATATTATCTCTTACCTTTAGTGCAGTATATTGCAGAGGGAGCATGCACTTGCAGTATAAAATGAAGTTTACTGTGCTTTCAAATTACAATGTGTTTGAAGTGGAAGTTTATCATAAAAATATAGCAGTGTTAAATAACTGTGAGGCATAGATGCGCATATTTTTTCACACTGGAAAGAACTATTACTATGGCACCTAGTTTCTGTGTCAGTTTTTTCATCATTGTGACCTACCTAAATTTGTCAAAAATTTTAGTGTGTGCTCTTATGATGTTAGTATTCATGCTTTACCTTGTCTATCCTCTATCCAATCTTCAGTACATGTAATCTACTCATGTAGATGAATGTAGGTCAGAAGTTTAAACTTCACCGGTATTCGCAGATTAGTTGGCGTGCCTCATGATTACATTCAACATATTTTAACATAGCGCACAATTATGCGTACACTAGAGAAGAAGGGACAAATCGCAGTGCTGTGTTTGTTCTTCTCTTGTGTCTGCATAGTTGTGCGCTGTGTTAAAATATGTTCAAGTACTGTCGCCAATTGGCCAAGCTTTCAGTTATTCTACTATGTGATTACATTGTAATTTTGGCTCATTATATCCCATAAAGTATCATTATGTTGCCAGCTAAGCCTGACGAAAAACATTATAAGCCAACACATAAGCTTGATCAGCTTATTTTCTGGCTCATAAGTGTTGTTTATAGTGAATGATTGAGCATTGTACCGACTTGCACCCTGAGCAAAAAAGGGTAATAAGAGAGCCATGAAATATGACTTGCTACATTTTGGTCTAGAGCAGCAGCTCATCTCCACTGCTACTGAGCCATTATTTTGCTCATGCCCCATATCAGTCTTCAGTAAGTAAGATTGTCATTGTTTTTGTTGTCTCAGCTTCTGTGTCTACCACTATAACAAACTCAAAGGCAGAAGTAGTCGAGTTATGAAAACATTGAAGCCAGAAGCACAACTTGGCAGCGTTCATTAGCAAATTACTAGAGCTCTGAAAAAAAAAAAAAGGTTTTTATGCCTTCATTTAAATTCAGACGAGAACACACTAAAAAAATGCTTAGTTTTGTTGTGCGTCGAAAGGCTTCAAGTTATTTCAAGTTATGTAGGATGTGCAACTGTATTTTGGCTGTCATGTCGCCCCAGGATGCGTCTTGGAAAGTGGAAGCAGAGAAGAAATGGAGATTCGTGGAGCAACAATTCACGCATGTGAGGTAAGCAGGAGCTGTTCATTAATAGAAAAGTGACAAAGCTGTCATTCGAGACCTGGCAGAGATTGCCAGAAAAGTTAGCAGTAGACTCTCGATAAATGAAGCTCATTTGTATGAAAATGTTAGATAAATATAAAATGGTATCAGCTCATGTTTGCCACCCATAGGCACAACATTAACAAACCTTGATTTAATGGAACCCATGCTTTTTTTAAACTCTGGTCAAGCAAAACTCAGTCCAAGACTCCCATCTACCTCATTGTAATATGGAAAAGGAAAAAAAATCTGATAAAAAACATGTCAAATAGTGATGTTGTTCTGTGTAAAGAAAGTCCAGTGTAGCAAGAAGTTGCAGGAAAGTTGACGCAACAGTGGTTCGTTCATCAGTGTTTGGCTAGGAAGGTAGCAATACCCAAAAAGGAACAGAGCAAGTGTCATCAGAACATTGCAGTCTGATTGCCACTACTACTTTGTTCACACTGCTAGAAATAGGAAACCCCTTATTATGCCTTTTTTTAGCTGCTTTGAAGGGATAGTAATTGAAAATATCAGTGGAAGTCATGCTAAAGGCCATGATTTTATTATTGAAGATGTGAATATTGCTGTTTTAGTGTGAATTACTGTTATAGAATAAACAAGATATCCAGTAGAAATTCTGAAAAGCTTTGAACATAAGGATTTTGCAGAATTGTTGAAGTCCTTTCATGCATGTACACAACTTTACCCAAAAGTTTTCACAGTATTAGAAATAGAGCTTTTTTTCCCCCACAATATTAAAACACTTAGATACTTTTCAATCAATGCAGCATTTAGGAATTTTATTTTCTCTCTTTTAATAAAGCAAAGTTTAAATAAATTGAATACTTGCGTACCTCTGTCCCTTTTAAGGTTTGGTTATGGTGAGTCTACCATACTCGGAAGTCTTAAATTCTTGCATGCACAAGAACTTGTATTAATAAGCATGCAGACAGTTGTTCTTTCTCTTTACTGTCTTACACTTTATATTTTTGTGCATATAATTTGCAGTGTCTCTATGCTTTCCAAAATGCTCATTAGAGTATTAGACTTTGTTACTGCTGTTCAGAGCAGTAACAAAGTCTAATACCCTAATACAAAGTATTGAGATGTCACTACTTTTCCTGTGATATTATGTTTACTGCGCTAATGTGCATCTGCCTTTTATATACTGGTATAAAGTGCAGCTCTATAGTACACTCTGGAGGGATGAAGGAAGTTGAATCACCTCCAGCTACAATCTTGGAGGAAATCCGACGTTTAGAGACTGGCTTGGTCCCTTCCTCAGGGGTGACCGTAATGGTCAGGGAAGCGTCAACGCACTTTCTCCTAGGCTCTGTCTTTCCCTTTCCCTCACGTTTCAAAGGCCGTGCACGTAGATCGGAGGCATTGTTCCCCGGGACCGGTTCACGTTCATCTGTGTGTGCTGTACGTGCCAGGACTCAAGCGAGAGCCTCCTTTCCAGATTATTTTCCGTTTCTATGACAGAAGCGCCTTCGAAGTCACTCTTGTGGTTGTGCTCCTCACAATGCTCTGCAAGGGCACTGCGTTACACCTCCATCTTCCTCACATCATTCCTGTGCTGGGTTATTCTTTCCGGGAAACACTTGCTCTCGCCTATGTAGCTCGCTGGACATTCCAAACACGATAATTTGTATACCACGCCCTGGTTTTGCTCCATGGATCGTTAGTGTTTTGCTGTAGTAATAAGCGTGTGAGCCACTGTTTTTAGATATTGTCAATTCGATAAGCGTGCATGGTCGCAGTGGCCAAAAGCGGCCCCCTCCCTTTTCCCACACAGCGGTGGCGCTGCTGTCGCTTTGAGATCGGTGAAGGAGCATTGTCTGCTACCTGTGCATGCAGAACAGCAGAAAATTTGTTTCCAAATGTGCGGATTTTAGCTAAAGCAGCCAGTTAGGGCTGCACCTTAGTGGTAAATTTACTTAGTGGTAAATAAGGGCCATGCCTGTATCTAACAACTGTATGATTAATTCTGTGCCTGCAATGAATTAGTGGGGTGCTCAGGGGGTGGCACACCGGGCCTGCGCCGTTCTTTCTTTCCCTCTCCCCCCACCAAAATCTTTTGCGCTATTATTCACAGAGGAAAAAGGGACACTCGATCACACTTGCCTGTCTGGCATCCACTTCAGATCAAGATGGTGCCCCTAGCCCCTGAAAAAAATTCTGCTTGTGCCTCGGCAATAAATAGCAGTCATCTGCACCTTCAGGCTGTGGATGATTTTAAGTGAACGAGCTTGTTATATTTACACATCGTATAAATTGCCTGAAGAATGTATTTAGAAACGGTTGCGCCTCTTTTTGAAGAGTTAAGAAAAAATAGACAGAACACACTGGCAGTCGTGCGAATTAGCACCACAACCCTCCTATGCTTTATATCAGAGAGCTAGCAGGGCTCACAGCTCACATAAATGGTATAATTTTTATGTAAAGATGCCTTTCATACACAAACTCTTTGGATTGTAGCGGAAATTATCCAAGCAGTTATGAGACAGGCTTAGAAAGTGAAGGAAGAAAAATTTAAGAAAAAATAGAAGGCAGTGCTATAGATGACACATAGGGAGTACTTAAATAACTTTTATTTATAAAAGCTTTTTCGCAAATTGTATTTCACATGTGACATGACGATCAAGCATGCTTGAGTGAATTAGCAGTTGAACATAGCAAACATGCCGACCTGCAGCCCGCTGGGCTGTCGAAGTGGCTATGCCTTCGACAAAAATACTGGCAATCAGCGGTTTTTCTTCAAAGCCCCAAATGACCCTGCAATTTTCAAGGCCTGGACAGCTGCTATTCCACGAAAAGACTTCCAGGTGACAGTCAAGATGTATACATTGGCGATCTAAATTTTGATCCGAGGACCTAATTAATTGCTTCGAGCACATCGTAGGCAGAAATGTTGTCGAAATTCCATTTGGTAGGTGGACACGTAATCCTGGTGCCGTTCCTCAAATTTTCTCGAACATTCCTGTACTTTTGTCTAAATCAGTGGCATTAAAGCTCAAACAAAAGCCACCAAAACTGAAGGAAACCACGAGTTTCGAGGGCCGTGTGTCGACAAGTGGTGGCGATTAGTCTGGCGTTAACATGGAGAACAGCGCTGTTGACGAAGCTACTGGCGTCCCCTCCAATGTAGAGTTGTGTCCAGAGGTAGCAGCTTGGTTCCTTGCATTACAAGACCAAACAAAGTTTCAATGCTGGAATTTCGAGCTTATCCAGGAAGTTTTTTTTTTTTCAATGTTGTTAGAAACAAAAATATTGTCGAAATCGACAAGGCAGTGGTGGTAACAAAAGACTTCATCGCTGTCCTCAGCTCTAGAGGGAAGCTTGTTCGTGCGCATACAGCGAAAATGGTATGGGAAGTCAGCTGAAACTCACGAGCTTGCAGATGGTATCAGCTTTTCTCAGTTATGTTGATCACCTAAAAATATGCATGGGCGGTCATAGTCGCTTATTCCCTTCTATTTCGACTGCAACATCAGCCCTGGAGATTCGGGACGTGTGGAGGAGCACTAAGTGCTTTGGGCTGTCCCAGGAAGACTTATGCCCACCATGCAAGAGCACTAGGTAGAATCAAAGAGCACGGTAAAAAAAAAAAGAGAAATCAATGGAACCAACAAGGCTTCACCAAAAATTACTCTTGACTACTAAAAACCTTAGAAAGACGGTTATTAAGGCCGCAGTTTTTCGAGAAAAAATGAAGAACGACATTCGGAAAATCAAAACACAGCTTTGAAAAGTGTCTACCAGTCAAGTGGGTGAACTCATAATGGGCCTTCCTCCAGCAGAACAGCTGATGCAGCTGATCGAAGCCTCACTGAACCCAAATTCGAAAGGCATTCCCTTATAATTAGTGTAACGCATGCAGATGTCGGCAGAGGTAGTATGTTCATCTTTGACATCAGCCTATAGGCAGCAGGTCTCGATATTTTAAGGGGCAGGCAAGTGATCAGCCACTCGGTTATGTAGCACTACCCTCTTGCCGACTTCGCTTTTGAAGCTTTCAACGCAAGACGAACAGCGAGTTTGAAAAAAAAAAAAAAAAACTTCATTTGGTCTTGTAATGCAGAGGACCAAGTTGCCACCCCTGGACACAACTCTGGATCACAGGGGATGCCAGTAGCTTCGTCAACATTGCTGTTCTCCAGGTTGTCAGGCACATCGCCACCACTTGCCGACACACGACCCTAGAAATTTGCAGTTTCTCTAAGTTTCGGGGGTTTTATTTTGTGTTTTAATGCCGCTGGTTTAGGTAAGTGCGTAGGAATACTCGGGAAAATCCAAGGGATAGCACCGAGCCTAAATGTCCACCTACCATGTGGAATTTGGACAACATTTCTGCCTACGATGTGCTTGTAGCAATTGACTAAGTTCCCGGATTCAAAATGTAGATCGCGAATGTAGGTCTTGACTGTAACCTGGCTGGCTTTTTATGGAACAGTAGCTGTCCAGACCTTCAGAACTGCAGGGTCATTCGGGGTTTTGAAAAAGTGCTGCCGATTGCAAGTAATTTCCTCGGAGTTCTAGCCACTTTTCACGGCCCGGCACGCTGTAGGTTGGCATGTTTACTATGTTAAACTGCTAATTCACTAAAGCCTGCTTGATCGTCGTGTCACATGTGAAATACAATTTGCAGTGATCGAAATATAACCTTCAAGCTCCCGCCGCTGTGGTCTGAGCAAGCAGGCGCGCGCGCGCACACACGCGCACAAACACACACACACACACAAGCAAACAAACAAACAAACAAACAAACAAACAAATCTTCAACATTGCCGTGGGAAATGGCGAGTAGCCGGCGGTGGCGGCTCGATCTCAACTATATGCCAGCGCCATCCTCGGAGCGGGCTTTTCCAACTGACAGTATCTAAAGCTATAGTGTAAGCGTTGAAGCCAGCTTATGAACTACCATGACACCAGCTTTTCTGAGGACCCTGGCGAGCTGTTCACTGGTTTCCAGCACATACGGA